TTGACTTTGGAGTAAACATTTATTTTGAATCTTGTGATTAAAGTATATTTCATATAAAATGCCCAGAAGTTTCAAACATTATTTTTAATATCACAAACAGGAAATTACTCGCATAACATGATGAAACTAATAACTGTATAGGTCTACAACTAATAACTGTATAGGTCTACAACTAAATTACACAAGATGTATATAATGTTTATAAAATGCTTAATATGTCATTATAAAATGCATACATAAAGTATGACGTATGGTGTGTAATAAAAGCAAATTACCCCTTAAAAACCGTAAGGTGGCGCTACTCTTTTAAAAAATGTAAGCTCCGCCCCTCACTTCCGGTTCTGTGGCAGCGGTTCTGTGGCTGCGGTTCTGAAACTGCTGGTGCTGCGGGTCTGCAGCTGGATATATCTCAGAAAATGAACAAAAGCGACATACTGGATGCTCGAACACACACAAGAGGGCGCACTTTATACAAAATGCCTTTTCTGCGGTCTCCATACTAGTCTAATATGTTGTTAAATGTCTCGTGTTGGTGAGGATGACTCTGGTGTAGGTGAAACCGCTAATTTACTGTTCCTCCTTTTTGGATCAGTATGAGCAAATCATACAGCCCATTATATGAACAGTTAGATCAATGTTTTTTATAACCGACATTGTGTCCCTTGCAGTCCACAAAGTGTAGTCTGTAGTAGGCTAACCCACATTCCATAACAAATCACCTATATTGCCAAAAGACATTCATAACATAACAATGTCAATACTGGACAAGGGAATATGACAAATAGGCCTACAATAGCTATGTCCAGAATAGAACACTAACATACTAGTTCTACTATTTGTGTAGTACATACTGTGCCATATATGCCCATTTTGACCTATTATGCAATATGCAGCTGAAGATAACTGGATGTGAATCACAATTAATTATGCAATGTAATGAGGTCATTTAACAATGTAGCATTCTGCTTTTTAAAATGTCTATTGTTATGTAGGCCTACACTGTTTCACATAGGTTACTACTTTTAAAAAACCTTAAGCAGTATGCGATGTATTTTGCATAGTATGCAGCAAGCAGTAGGATGGTATTCCATTTGTTTGTGCATCGTCACTGTAAAAAGTAAAGTGTGACTGTAAAATCTGCGCTCACTCTCTATTTTTGTCAGCTTGAGAGACTGAGGAAAAAATAGCATTTCTGATAACTGAAATAGCTGAGTAGCTGATGTTCACGTTTTTTTCCTGTGCATTGTGGGAATTTAAACATTTCAGTACTTGATTTTGACAGTGGGACAGGCCTGAAACTCCCACTTGGCAATACACTTAATAATGAGTATAGAGCTAAAGAAAGTTGATTGAAATACACCCCGTGTTCAAATATGCCCTGTTATATAGTATGCAAAAATCAGTATGTCAAATTAGTAGTCAGAATATGCAATATTCATAAAACAGCAACATGGCTAATGTCATATGGTCACATAGAGATGGCAACATGGTAGAAGTAGTGCAGGGGTGCCCAATCCAATATCCTGCTACATACATGCAGAGATACTCTGACAGAATGTAATTTCAGAACAAACTAAAATGTATAAACTTTGTGCACATTAATATGACAGGAAACAGGAAATCAAAACTGGAATACATGAACCACACTAAACAAAAATGACATAAAGTGAAAGACCCTGGAGACATACGAGACAAGCTGAGTCTGACAAAATTGAAGATAATAAAACATTGAAGAAGATAAAACATTGAAGCCATAAAAATAAAAAGCAAAAATTTGCATATGCGGATCAGCTCTTACATTTTTAATGCTTCGAACGTCACATTTTCGTCACCTTCACTATGAACGCAACTGATTTTTACGTCATTATTTAATTCAACTTTCTAATTTTCAAAATATGTCAGTTTTGGCAAATACCTTTTCTGATTTATAAAGATTTTGTTCTGGTTAATTATTATTATTATTATTATTCGATTTGTGTGTAATGGTCTACATGCATTCTTAATTTAATATTTTTAACTTATACTAGAATTTGTGTTCAAAGCGATTTGACCCTCATTCAACATCTGCAATGATTAGCAACAATTAGCTGACAGTCTAAACAAACTGATATGACCAACAGGTCATCTGTTGCCATATAAAATTGAAGACCTTTAAACAATTTCCAACAGCTATACATCTCAATTACCTATTTGGCATCAGAAAAATAGAGACTCATTTAAGATAAGGTTGTCTTACTATATATAAGTATATTAAGTATACTATTACCTTTTCATTTCATGAAACATTGCAGGCTCTGGTTATATTCTTAAACTCAACTGGCATGTTTTATTGAGAGCAGAAATCAGGCAACAAAGACGCCTCTTTCAAATATAGTGGACTTTATTAGCACAGTTATACTGTACAGTCAGTAATGTTCTTCTTTGATATTTAGGATTATAATGGACACGGCACACAAGTCTCTGTACAATTGTCTTGTTGAACAGCTGACTGAACTTCGATGAGCCTAGAGAGAGCACACGTCAACAAGACCGTTAAAGCATCTCACACAGACGTGTACTTATACAGACACAATGATTTGATGTGTTATTTGAATGTTCTGCAGTATTTTCACTATCCTGATGATGGCTGTGGTACTTTGCAGCAAGTTGCTGATCTTGATGATGCAGAAGATTTCAATTTAATGAGATATGGTTGCCATAATAGTTAACAGGATGACACATGGACATAACTGGATTAACACAGTTGCTGGGATCACCACACCAAATGGTCCTCATATCTGTGAATAAACAGCCATAAAATCTTATTAAGCAAAAACTTTTCTACACAATAAGCAGTGTTCATCCATCACAATTTCACGTTTTCATTGTTCACTGGAAATAATTTTGAGTGGAACGCTATGATTGATTATAATATTGCCATAATAAAAATCAATTATGAGCTACCTAAAGTCCATTTATAAATCTTACCTTGTCTGGGGGCGGGACTCTATTTCACCAATCAGAAGGTCTGAAATTAAGGTGTCAGCGCTGGACCTTTTGCCATACCTGCCAAACAGAACAAAGAAGCAAAAATCACACCAGTGTAAGAATTACAGCACTTGTAAGTGGAGTCAACCATTTTATTAGCGAAAATTTTCGCAATATTGAGGTTCATGTCGCGCACCTCAAGTTGT